TGCATCAGGACCTACCCCACCCAGGCAAAATCGCAAAATTCTGGAAATAAATAGTTAAGGAAAACGTGTCCTGTGTTTTTTGCCACCTTCATATTGCTCACAGTGCTGTTGCCAATACATTCCATCGCTTTATAAGGTTTTCACTTCCATCTCCCACAGGCCCTGAAAAGTAATATGTATCCCAGCTTCATCAGACTTGTGCTCTCATGCAAAACCTTAAGTGACCTCATACACTCTTATATCTATATCAACAGATTGGCATATCTGACTGTCACACAGTCCATTTACTTGAAAAGTTATTGTCCCTTAACGTGGCTGAGGTCACAGTTAAGATTTGGCATGAGCATAATTAGAGCTTGCAAGAAATCCAGAGTATCTCCCTGCACAGATTCCTAGTGCATTCATTGTTCTATTCCAGCTGGACTATTGGAGCAATGGAAAAACAGGTCTGTCTTCTCTGAATTTTTCTTTCCCAGGTTCACTGGATGTTTATTGGACCGCAAAGTAAGATTTTTTTTCCAGATGGAAATTTTTTAAAAAAATATATGTTTAAACTTTATGGTGCCCAGGAGATCTTTTGAATTCACTGTGCCCTCCATAACCCCTCCCCTCCCCACCATAAAAGTGTTACAAAATGTAGTCTTAAACCCTGTAGCACTTGCAGTCAATACCTTATACTATTTAGCACTAATGCATTTTGCATTAGTGGTTAGCATCAGGACATCCTGCTTGCTAGTGCCAGGGTGTTAAGGAGTATCTTATTTTGTGTTTTGGTTCCATTCAAGATTTTCTCTTGGTTTGCTATAGCCAACCAGCATTTTTAGCAGTCTTATAAAACTCACCAATTCACCTTGCAAAGGCTTAGGTGAGAACTTGTTCTGCTCCTGTCACTAGAACCTATCTATATAAATATTCATGGGACACAAAGTAATTTGATAACGCTTGATTTCTGTACTATGCATAATGTATGTACTCCTGACCAAAACTTTTTAATAAGCAAATGAGACTTTATCAAGAGGTCTAAACTATAGGTCAGAGACTATGGGTTCAGTCTGAGGAATTAAGCCTCCCCTACTCTTCTCAGTTTCCATATTGGTCCTCATCACCCACAAATAACTCCAGTTCCTACCTTTACTGATAGTCATAACTGTATCCAGTAGCAGCAGTGTGTAAACTCACATGATTCTTGACAGTTTTACTGTCGCCTGTTAGGTTCTAAATAGGCACATTTTCACTCAGGTGCTGCTTGGGAAATCTCTGGATAAAAGTAGAGGCACTAGAGCCATCTGTTTGCAGCCTGAGGAAGACAGTGGTACATCACTGATTTACACTCTGTTTACATTTGGATGGTTGTCTTCCCAGTTATAAGGAATAGCAATGATTTTTTTCCTAAACTTAATCTGCAGAAATTGATGATTTAAGGTGCTCACATTCACCTTTATCACTTGGATTTTTCAAGTGCAATTGAGGGCAAAGACAAACAAAATGTGGGGAGGATGTCTGACCGAATTAATGGTGTCGGGTGAGGAGGGAAAAAGATGTATATCACGCAGTTCAAAAATGAGTTGAAAGAAGATAAGAAAGAAACAGAGAAATAAAATTCTTATTTCTGTGAGGTTCAACTGCCAAACTAATTAACAATGCTACATGGCTACCTTGGAAGCTGAAAAGCATTCAGGAATTAAATCTCCCTTCTCTAGAGTTTGGGAATCTCTTTCCTTTAGCTCCTACCCCACCTCTGGATCCCAAAATAAAAATTAAAATACTACCTCTGGTAGTAGATAAAACTTACTTCTTCCTATGAAACTTCGCTTTTAGGAGACTTGGGCCTGTCTACATGGGAGATTTTAAAAAAAAAAATTTATACCAGTATACAGATGTGACGTTCCCCTGGTGTTCTCTGGACCGGTGATCTGCCAGGCCACTCCAATCCATGACTCTGGGAGCCAGCCTTACCCTGCTCCGCTGTGAGAACCCTCACTCCTGGGCTGTTCATGCGCAGTCTCTAGCATGTAAACTGTTCCTTGGATTGTGCAACCGAATGACACTAGCCAATATCTCCAGTCCCAGACACAACCCTAGGAACCTTCATCTTGCAGTGTCCGGTTACGCCCACTGGACACTGCAAGCTTCTATTAGTTAGTCAGTTTAACAAAGAAATTGATATGCACCAGGCTTGTTATCCCCAGGGGAGTCTCTGACACGCTTTAAACCAAATGCACTGCTTCAGGTAGAATAAACAGATTTATTAACTACAAAGATAGATTTTAAGTGATTATAAGTCAAAGCATAACAAGTCAGATTTGATCAAGTGAAACAAAAGCAAAACGCATTCTAAGCTAATCTTAACACTTTCAATGCCCTTACAAACTTAGATGCTTCTCACCACAGGCTGGCTGGTTGCCCTTCAGCCAGGCTCTCCCCGTTTGATCAGCGCTTCAGTCATTTGGTGTGGTTTCTGTAGATGTAGTTGGAAGAGAGAGGAAGAGCGTGGCAAACTCTCTCCCTTTTAACATGTTTTCTTCTCTCCTGACTTTGCCTCCCTCCCTCTTCAGAGTCAGGTGAGCATTACCTCATCGCAGTCCCAAATTGACCAAAGGAAGGGAGGTGACTCACTCGAGAGTCCAACAGATCTTTTGTTGTTGCCTAGGCCAGTGTCCTTTGTTCCTGTGAGGCTGGGCTCGGTTTGTCCCATATATCCCCTGATGAGGTGTGAACTGCCTCTCTGCTCTTGGGGAGTTTTTGCCTGGGCTTGCTTTAGGCCACGAGGACACATTTTCAGCCTCATAACTGTATAAATGAAATTACAATCTATAACATTACTGTTTAAATAATTACTATAACATCACTGTAGCAACAATGCTCACTGCATCATGAGCCTTCCAAAGACACCCAACATGATCAACTTTGCATTGGATACCACACAATCATTTTACAAGGATGAACATGGGGGGTGCTGGGTGTTTCCCCGACGTACAGAGCATCACAATAGATGTAACTATAGCAGTATAATTGTCTCTCCATGTAGACAGTCTCATTCTGAAACGGGCAGATGTAGGCTCCTGTTTCAGTGGGTGCACTGTACTAAACTGTCTATTGGGCACCGACCATCTGCAACAGCACCCTCTACCCTGGTACTGCAACCCTAATCCTGGCCTGGTGCAGAGGGATGACTCCTGGGAGTTGAGGCTGGAGAGCGAGATGTGATATTCTTTGATTTTAGTAAGACTGTTGACACAGTTCTGCATGACATTCTCATAAGCAAACTAGGGAAATGTGGTCTAGATGAAATTACTATAAGGTGGGCTCACAACTGGTTGAAAGCCCATACTCTAGTTATCAATGGCTTGCTGTCAAATTGAGAGGGAATATCTAGTGGAGTGCCACAGTGGTCAGCTCTGGGTCCAGTACTATTAGATATTTTCATTAATGACTTGGATAATAGAGGAGAGAGTATGCTATAAAACTTACATATAACCCCAAGCTGGGAGGGGTTGGAAGCATTTTGGAGAACAGGTTTAAAATTCAAATTGGACCTTGACAAATTGGAGAATTCATCTGAAATCAGCTTCACTTAGAAAGGAAAAATCAAATGCACAGCTACACAATGGGGAATAACTGGCGAGGTAGTAGTACTGCTGAAAAGGATCTGGGGGTTATAGTGGATCACAAACTGAATATGAGTTGTCAATGTGCTACAGCTGCAAAAAGGCTAATTATGATTCTGGGGTGTATTAACAGGCGTGTTGTGTGTAAGACGCAAGATAATTGTCCCGTTCTAGTTGGCACTGGTGAGGCACCACAATTTAGGAAGGATTTGGATAAATTGGAAAGAGTCCAGCAGAGAGCAACAACAGTGATAAAAAGTTTACAAAACCTGACCTCTGAGGAAAGGTTGAAAAAACTGGGCATGTTTAGTATTGACAAAAGAAGATCAAGGGGCAACTTGATAAGTCTTCCAATATGTTAAGGGTTGTTATAAAGAGGATGGTGATCAATTAATCTCCATGTCCACTGAAGATAGGACACGATGTAATGGGCTAAATTTGCAGCAAGGGAGATTTAGGTTAGATATTAGGAAAAACTTTCTAGCTAGAAAGGGAGTTAAGCTCTGGAATAGGCTTCCAGAGGCAGTCATGGAGTCCCCATCGTTAGAAGCTTTTAAAAACAAGTTGGACAAACACCTGTCAGGGATGGTTTAGGTTTACTTGGTCCTGCTGGACTTGATGACTTCTCAAGGTCCCTTCCAGCCCTATTTTTCTAAGATTCTATAATTTCAAAAACAGCAGAACATGAATTTACAAACAAATTAAATATATTGAGCATTTTTATTATAATGGTAAAATATTCATAGAGTACTGTCTAATATATCTAGCCACATAACAGTTGCTAAAGTATTCTGTTACGTATCAACATGTGTTTTTAAAGCCATAATGGATAACATATGCACAGCGTGCTCTTTTCTCATAAGATGGAATGAAGCTCACTTTCATAACTAATATATTTAAAAAATAATAGTCCATATTAGTAAAGGTAATTTGATAATTTAGGCAAATTTACTTTAAAAAGTCCTCTCTCTTGCTTCTGATATGTTGGGGTTTTTTTCTGAATTACGTTGATAGTCAAACTGATCCGGGTAACTGTAGAAAATCTCAGTAAAGTAATTCTTTCAAAATGGTGAGGTAGAACAATACTACTGAAAAACAAATTTAAGAATATATTTTCCTTCTTTTCAGTTCTATAGCAGCAGAATGAATTTATTTTAACATCTCTCATAGTTGGACAGTTGACGTTAATCTCAGTAACATGTTAACTAAATACTTTTCTAGTGCAAATCATACAAAAGAGAACTCATTTTCTTAGATTACATTTCTCCCACTGAAATTAAGCTTTCAACCATATTTGTAATATTGTTTGACCACCAGCTCCTGTTATATTAAATGCAAACTTTATTTTAGCTTCGTTTCTCTCTTCTCAATTTATTTATTTATTTATTTTAGAGTTTGGATACGGACAAGCCCATGGAGCCAGTAAAGAAATCCCCTCTTCGCCAAGAAACCAACATTGCCAATTTCTCCTATCGCTTCTCCATGTACAATTTGAATGGTAAACAGAATTATCTAAGACCCTCAATTTTTTTCTAACATTGAATGAATATTTGTTTTATCAGAAAGCAGCCATCTTACAAAACGCTAAAATCCTACAGCATTAAAACATAGCATCTAGACATACTAGGGCATCATTTCCTAGTTTGCTTACATTGTATTATCCTGTTTATGTGAGAGAGAATTCTTAGTGTCCCAAACTGGGTGTCTTTCAGCAGCTAATGTCTGAGAATCAGAATCTACTTATTTGTAAAGAACAATTATTCTGATAACCTTTTTAATGAAAGAGGGAATTGATAAGTTTGTTCCTTAAGCCACATTGGATAGAAATGGGGGAAAAAAATCTAAATAAGATTGCACATAAAAGGGGAAATGCAGTAATTAGGTCCAATATTTCGGTTAAACAAAAAAGCAAATATTATAAAAAGCTTTGTCAGTTTTTCATTATCTATGACTCTGGCAGTAGTATAGGAAACTTGCATTTAAAAAAATGAGTTTTGGTTTTCAAAGCAGTGTGGGAGATTTTGCCACATATCTTCCAATAAAATAATGAAAAATGTGTAGGGATCATCTCTGCATTGCTTCAAAAATGTCAACCAGGGTTTTTAACCAGACAGTTGCTCATTAAGCGTTTCTGTAAATTTGAAAAAAAATTCACTGACATCATAGGCTTCCATTACTGGCACTCATGTTGGCAAATGCATTTCTCTGAAATTAAATTAAATTTTAACAACTACATTTTATTTTGAGTGTTGTAGATTCAGAATGGTGAAATTACTGTATTGTTTCTATTTTGTCCAGTGCAAAGTAGCACTACTTGGAGAACAGGATTGAGAAATGGGTTAATCATAAGGAAGCTAATGCCTGTTGTTCCTTGCAGAAGCCCTGAATCAGGGGGAGACTGTGGATCTGGATGCCCTCATGGCCGATCTTTGTTCCATAGAGCAGGAGCTCAGCAGCATTGGGTCACAATCAGCAAATAGTGCTGCAATGAAGCGTCTAGCCACAGAAACAAAAGTAGCTCAGAAACCACCTGCTGGTCGACTTTCCTCTAAACACAGCAGTATAAAAGGATCCTCCTCTTCATCTGGTAGGGTAACTAAGCCTTCAAATGCCAACTTTTCCTTGGAGGACATTACTGCCCAGTTAGAGAAGGCTTCTATGAGCATGGATGAAGCAGCCCAGCAATCTGTAATGGAAGATGCTAAACCTGTAGTTACTGCTCAGCATAGGAGGACAGCATCAGCTGGCACAGTGAGTGATACTGAAGTGCGCTCGATCAGTAACTCATCCCGTTCCAGCATAACCTCTGCAGCATCCAGCATGGACTCCTTGGATATTGATAAAATGACAAGACCTCAGGAACTGGATTTGACACAGCAAGGGCAACCCATTACTGAGGTAGAGTATCCTTATTTTAATGTAGGTTTTATTTAAGCTTACGTAAAACAAAGTTTAAAGAATCTCTTTCAGTCCTACCCTAATGGTGCTCATGGCCATGCATATTCAATGTGGTATGGTGGGGTGAGTGAGGGTTAGCTTTTTCTTAGGTACATTGATGTTGGTTCTCTTGCTTTCTTTTAAAAAAGATTCCTGCAAGAAAGGGTAAGGCTTTTTTTCAGGGTTTCCCACCACCCTATCTATTTACATCTTAACATTTTTCTGTATTTTAAAGATTTAAAAGTTACTAGGCTAAATGTTCAGAATTCCAGTACTGTTATCTGGAGATTCACTTATAGCTATTTTAAACCAGAGTTTTTGAAAAGTATTTGCGGGGAGATTAGTGGTAGCATGATAGATTTGGTCATCTACTTCATGAAGAGCCTTTTCATTCTTTTTGTTAATAATGTTAATATATTTAAAACTAGTCAGATTGGCATACCCTTTAAAATGACATTGTCCAAAGATGTAACCTTTGTATTACTACTCCATTCCAAAAAAATGGGGGAAAACATATAGTATGCTATGAATCATTTTTGGTTTTTATATAGAAAGAGAAAAAACATGCATAATTCAGATAATTCATTATAGATTTTACTGCATAACACAATATGGTACATTGAAAATTATATGATAAATTCAAATGTTCAATAGTAAGAGATTATTCAGCATATGTACTTGAAGTTCTTGCTGCTTTTATATATCGGTTATTTTTCTTCGGGCCTGAATTCTCCCTCAGTCTTCATAAAGTATTCCAGTTTGACATCCTCTTTATCTCATGACAAATCATTCTGCTGCTAGCTCCAAGGTAAAACTATATATATATATATTTTTTTAGAATACACCTCTACCCTGATATAATGCGACCCGATATAACACAAATTCAGATATAACGCAGTAAAGCAGTGCTCCAGGGGGGCGGGGCTGCACACTCGGGTGGATCAAAGCAAGTTCGATATAATGCGGTTTCACCTATAACGCGGTAAGATTTTTTGGCTCCCGAGGACAGCGTTATATCAGGGTAGAGGTGTACACAAGAAAAAGAAGATACAGTATATACATGGCAATTTACTGAGTGCCTTTGAAATTTCATATTTATATCCCATTGTGCCTTTTAAGAAATTTTCTTTCAGCGATCTTAAATGCTGCATCACTTGCAGAAATAGAAATGATGATTGGAGAGCCAAAATAGAGAGAGCTATACTTATACCGACATGATATGGTTGCTCCCCTGAAGCAATCCATAAAGAAGAAAATCCATCATCTACTCTCTAAACCTGCAAATTGCAAATGTTCTTTTGAGATTTTTGGTGTCATAATGAGTATTTTGCATCTGTATGATGAGAGAATATTGCATAAGCACCAACAATGAAATTCTTCAGAAAATTCCAAATTAATTTGAGATGCAAATTTGGAATAACTGGAGGTATACACAGGGATATGAAAGAATGTCCTAGTGAATCAGAGGGCTTCTATAAGAGAGGATTACTCATGATGCTTTGATGACATTAGAAACTATTACTGATAACCTGATTGCCATTCAGAAGTGTCCTGTACTGATACACACACTACTTAGTTTCCTCTCTATTCAAAGGAGATAACAAGAACAAATGGGGCTTATTTTTATAGATAATTAACCCAGTTTGAATGCTATGCTATATTTCACTCCAGCTGAAGCAAAAGAATGACTTTTCCATCTATAAATATGAGGCAGAAATAAGTTTATCTATTAAGGCTGAATGCTGTAGTTTGGACTGAAGATCATGAACTTCTCAAGGCCATGTTTGTGCTTAATATTTATAGAAAATGCTTAGAAATTAATGAATAACTCATATTGATTTTATTTATATAATTTGTACTCCCATTAGTGTCCTCTTAACTGGAGATATGCCTGTATGGGTTAAACAAAAAAAATCAAGGTGTCTTTCTTATAGCCTGAGATGTAGTTGTCACTTGTTAAGTGCTCTTCTAACTGTTTGCAAACCAATTGAGGCAGACCTGGGAGTTGTAGCCAATCTCCTACTAGCATTTATTTGGTATTTTACTGTTCTTGCATTTAGTTTGCTCTATATTTCTTTAGAGGGGGTTAGTTTTGGACCTTTGGAGAGGGATAGAAACCTAATACCATCCTGAGTAAAGGTGAAACTTTGGGAAGATGTTTCCCTATCAATGGAAGTTATAGTGAGTGCAGTTATTGCCTGTTCTCTCCTGGCTGCCTTGTACCTGAGGCCTTGGCTACACTTGCAGATGTACACCGCTGTGAGTTGAACCTGACTTCGCGCAGCTGAGTAGGGAAAGCGCTGCAGTCTGTCCACACTGACAGCTGCCCAGTGCACTGTCGTGGCCACATTTGTGGCAATTGCAGCGCTATTGGGAGCAGTGCTATTATGGGCAGCTATCCCACAGAGCACTTTTTCCCATTCTGGCGCCGTAGGTTGTGGGAAGGGGGCGTGGGTGCGGGGGATTCTGGGTCCTGTCCCAATGCCCCGTGATGCATCGCTTCACATCCCAGAAATCCCTTTGTTTCTGTCTACCTTTGGCGCCATCTTTCAACGGTTTCTGTGCAGCGCGATCTGTCTGCGGGAAATGGAATCCGAACTGCTGAGGCTGTCGAACTATTCCTTAAGATCCAAAGTGAGAGTGAGGGTGAGGAGTCCGACGATGCTATCGAGCTGCGTAACGCGTACGACATGAAATTGCTTGTGGCATTCACGGACATGCTCAGCACCGTGGAACGCCGCTTTTGTGCTCGGGAAACAAGCACCGAGTGGTGGGATCACATCGTCATGGAAGTCTGGGATGACGAGCAGTGGCTGCAGAACTTTCGGATGAGAAAAGCCACTTTCATGGGACTGTGTGAGGAGCTTGCCCCCACCCTGCGGCGCAAGGACACGAGATTGAGAGCTGCCCTGCCAGTGGAGAAGCGGGTGGCTGTTGCAATCTGGAAGCTGGCAACTCCAGACAGTTACCGGTCTGTCGCAAACCAGTTTGGAGCGGGAAAGTCGACCGTTGGAATTGTGTTGATGCAAGTTTGCAAGGCCATTAATCACATCCTACTCAGAAGAACCGTGACACTGGGTAAAGTGCAGGAAATAGTGGATGGCTTTGCACAAATGGGGTTCCCTAACTGTGGAGGGGCGATAGATGGGACGCACATTCCTATTCTGGCACCACCCCACCTAGCATCCGAGTACGTTAATCGGAAAGGGTATTTCTCTATGGTTCTCCAGGTGCTTGTGGATCACCGTGGGCGTTTCATTGACATTAACACAGGCTGGCCCAGAAAGGTGCATGACGCACGCATCTTTCGGAACACTTGGCTGTTCAGGAAGATGCAGGCCGGGACTTTTTTCCCAGAGCGGAAGATCACAGTAGGGGAAGTTGAAATGCCCATTGTGATCCTTGGAGATCCTGCTTACCCGTTAATGCCGTGGCTCATGAAACCCTACACAGGGAGCCTTGACAGCAGCAAGGAACAGTTCAACTACAGGCTGAGCTGGTGCCGAATGACTGTGGAGTGTGCCTTTGGCTGCTTAAAGGACCACTGGCGATCTTGATATGGGAAGCTGGACTTGGCCGAAAACAGCATCCCTGCGGTTATATCCGCGTGCTGTACCCTCCATAATATTTGTGAAGGGAAGGGTGAAAGCTTCATTCAGGCATGGACCTCTGAGGTTCAACACCCGGAGGCTGAATTTGCACAGCCAGAGAGCAGGGCTATTACAGGGGCCCAGCGCGGGGCTGCAAGGATTAGGGATGCCTTGAGGGAGCAATTTGAGGCTGAAAACCAGCAGTGATATCTGGTGCCCTGCATGGGAGTGAAGTGCAGTAGTTCCAATCTTTAGGAATCACCGTTTGCTAAGCAGTGCCTGTTTATTTCCTGGGCTAAGGAGTCTTTTACTTTTATGGAATAATAAAAAATGTTTTCAAAGCCAAAAAATCCATTTATTGAAAAGAAACAAGGGGGTGGAGTGGGGAACAGTACAATCACAGATTCGCGTATGTCCTATCTAGTGTGCTGTGCAGTGAGTGCTGCACTTCAGGACAGCTATATTGCATGGTGATGGGGGTTGAGTGCAGAGGGTAAGGGTCGTGGTTTTCAGGGCTGGGTGGTTTAGATACTGGTGTTGGAGGCAGCGGGTGGTGTGAAGAACACGGAAGTTGGGGAAAGTGGGTTGGAAGTGACAGTGGGGCACAACGGAAAGTTTTGGGACAAGGGCTGTGGGGGGGGGGGTTGGCGTTTGCGGTACTGCTCTTCTTTCTGCATGGCTACCAGCTCCTGGGTAGCGTCTGCTTGGCAGTCCAGGATGCTTATGAGCCTATCAGTGCTTTGCCGCCGGTGCGCTGCTTTCTGTCTCCCTCCAGTTCTGTGCTTTCTCATTCTCTTTAATAGATTGCCGCATCACTTCTTGCAGCATGTCGTCTTTGCTTTTTCGCGGTCTCTTCCTGAGTCTTTGCAGTCTCTGAGCAGGCGATAAGAGGGACGGCTGAGGTCTCAAGGTCAATGCAGCTGTATAGGCAAAATGCAACATTTAACAGAGGCAGCATTGTTTATACCAGACAGAGTACTGATTCCCCCCGCACTTAAGGAGTAGAAATCACACAGGGTCTACACAATAGCATAATTTTCCCGTCCGAAACAGAGCACACACATCCCATGGGAATCTCAAAATGGTGAGTAAGGGGGACTGATTGTTTATGGGCTGCACTGTCCTCTGTGTTTCTGTGCCTTGGGGAGAGCCAACAGCTTCAGGGGGCACCTACACAGAACACTGTCCCAACATTTTCCACAGGAGTTCGTCCTGGATGATATCTCGCTGCTGAGGGTGACCTGGGAAGCAAGGGATGGTCTTCTACTGCAATGCGGCTTCCGCCCTGGCCCATATGCAGCTTGCCTGTGTGCAGCAATGGTCCCCCCCGCCCCTCGCGTTACAGTGGCGTGGTCACGTTAGCCTGGCTGG